TGAAGAATTATAATTTTAGTTTAAAACAAAAATATTACTTTGACTTAAAACTCTTGGTATTTTAGTATGAAATAAATCATATACTTAAATCAAAAATAAAATTGTATTAGATTAAATAACTTTATATTCTTAAAATCGAAGAAAAATATTACTTAAATCAAATATTTGAATATTTAGCTAAAGAAGCTTTTATTTGATAACGAAGATTTTTTATTTCTTGGAAAAAGAAAATTACAAAGCTTAATTGAAAGATATATTTTTAAACTAAATAATTGATTATTTCACTCAAAAATATATTTCCAATTATAGCAATATTCTTAAATTAAGAATATTAGTTTTTACTGTGTAGAATATTTAAGTACTTGAGAATGGAGAAAATAAAAATTATCAATACATTGTATTTTTTACTCTAAATTGATTTAAAGTAAAAATACAAAAATAATTGTACTTATTAATTTGAATAAATAATATTTTTTCGTACTTCGTAATGCAAAAAGTTTAAAGTCAAAGTAAAAAATTGATTGTACATAAAATATAAATGAAAATACAAGTACGAAGTATTTTTTAACGGGACCGACTGAAAATAAAAAACAAAATCTAATTAATAATTATAAATACTATAAAAAATTAGTGTAATTTTTCAATATATAAATTAAAATTGAGTTAGCTAAGGAAATTTAGTGTCTTAAGCCGGTTTTCCACCAAACGGACAGTGGAGTTTGGGTTTTGTTTGTGTTTTTAAAAACTTGCAAATCAAAAACAAAACTGAAACAAACCCGAAACTCTTGTTTCCATCAAGCAAACTAAGTTTTGTTCGAGTTTTGTTTTTGTTTTCGGTCCTTTTCCACTAGTTGTCGTGATTATGTCAGAACACACTTTTTCAGTATCAACCAACATGTTTAGAGAAAAAGATTTTCTTATTCTTAGTTGTGGCTGGTTTATACTGCCGTGTTTTATATACTATTTTTTTTCAAGCTCTAAATTTCGATATTTTTTTGAAATTTTGTAACCTCATTTTTAGGTTAGGTTTAACTGTCAGACGACAAAATCTCACCATTATTTTTCGGCGGTCAATAATAATTTGACTTTTGAACTAGTACAGTAATGTAGTGACTACTAGTTCAAAAGTCAAATTATTATTGACCGCCGAACAATAATGGTGACATTTTGTCGTCTGACAGTTAAACCTAACCTAAAAATGAGGTTACAAAATTTAAAAAAACTACATTGTAGTATTTCTATATAGTATATTACACTACAAGGGCAGAAAGTGTGAGATTCCTGCACTGCGCGCCATGATGCCCGAGGCGAAGCCAAGGTCATCATGGCGCGCAGTTCAGGGCTCTCACACTTTCTGCCCGTGTAGTGTATACTATTTTTCTTACTACCTCGGCTGAAAATACAACCCGGCCGAAAATACGGGAAAAAATTAAATGTGTATATCGAAATTGAAAACAAATTTTGAGGTTATATTAGAGTTGCATATGTTGAGTACTAGTGCACACGACTAAAAAATTTTTACTCCCGCTATTATAGAGGGTGCGCGTATAGCTTGACCAATGCATCAAACGTAAACTTTCTGCCGTGGAATTGATGTTACCGCTTTCCAGCGGGACTCGAAAAACAAAACTCAAACTGTCGCAAAACACGCCAGTCTTCAAAAAGTTGCAGTTTTGTTTTATTCGACACGAGTTTGTGTTTTGTTTTTGTTTTGTCCGTTTGGTGGAAAACCGGCATAAGATTGCGTCATTGGATGACGTCACTCTGTTAACGGGAGCCCAATAGGGAACCGTCTGACGGTACTCTAGACACGGCGTTAATTTTATCATTATTATGTTAACATAACCTTATACTAATTTTACATATTTTTGTAGTTTGCCTGAAGATGATCTAAACTAGTCGCAATAAAAACATAAACAAGCACGGAAGTATCCTTATTCACCATTCTAATCAAATCAAAAAAAATATAATGTATTCTGTTCTTTATTATTTTTTAATTATAAAATAAAAAAATATTTAGAATCAGTAAACATTTTAAGTTAAAATAAAAAGTACTTGATATTTTCTCTGATTATAATTACAAAATAAAAAAAAAATTGTAATTATCAAATTGGTAAAGTAAAAATAAAAAAATATTTAGAATCAGTAAACATTTTAAGTTAAAATAAAAAGTACTTGATATTTTCTCTGATTATAATTACAAAATAAAAAAAGAATTGTAATTATCAAATTGGTAAAGTAAAAATAAAAAGTACTCAATATTTTTCTCTCATTACAATTATAAAATCAAGTAATAATTAGTAATGATAGCATAATCCATTAAAAAAAATACTCAGTACTCCCAACTCTGGCTGCAATATGATTTTAATTAATTAAAGACCATGGAAGTTTATGTGTTCAGTGGTGAAATTTATTACAAACGTTGACAACATTGATTTTAACCACCAAAATGTTTTGCGCAATTTTAAATTGGGCAAAAACGAAATTAATTGTGGTCACTGGAAAATGGCTCTTGCAGCTCGATAAATTATTCCCACTTTTATAACATGTTTCGGAAATAAACAAACCTTATAAAAATTTAAAAAAATGTTAAATTATTGTAAAGCGGATGCATTAAAAACCAAATTTATGTTTGCAATACCCAAATTTTCGATAAGGTATAATTAATATATTATGGTTAACCTAAGGACCGCAGATATTATAATAAGTTTAAAAGGAAAAAAATTAAGATAATATTTCCTGCCCAAAGTTTAACCTCAACAAATGAATATTAATACGAGTTTATTTATTTTATACATTAATATGTATAAAGCGAAAATAAATTTTCTTTAAATACATATTGTAAACAAAGAATGTAATCAGGATATTTACTGTAGGAGGTGGAGTATAAGCGAATTTGAAGGTAAGACGCACAGACCAAAAACTTGAAGCAAATTGCATTTCTGAAATTCGTTATTATAAATTAATCCTTTCCAAGTATCTTTGTAGCATTCGTTTCCCAGGTAATTCATCAGATGGTGAATTTATAAAATAATCATTTTAATGAGTAACAAAACGTTTTACTAAAGTTAAAACGTATAATAAGAAATTAGTTGGCCTAAACTTAGTGGCATAAATATAGGAGCAGATTAAGCAAGTCAAAATAAGACGAAAATCTAAATAATTATTTTTCCTAATTACGTATGTTTAAAAGATACAGGGTGATAAACTGTTACTTATCATATCAGTTTTTTTAATATAACCTCTACTATGGTAGACTTCGAAAGGTGATATTTTGCGAACAGTAACCTTACTACTAAAACACATATTCATACATAATTACAATTGTTTGAGTGAACACAGTGTCGTAGAAACGGGGGTTGCTTTAAGCTTATTGTTCCATACAAACTTTGAGGTTAGTTTTTTGTAACATTTGATGCAATTTTTTGATTACACAGTTCGGCTACCATTAAAAAGGTGTACCTCTCAAACTTCGATAAAATAAACCGTTTCCGAGATATTCGAGATTACAATAATTGTTATATCGCATTATTTAAAAGGATTAAAAGGTATATGATAACAAATTTTATTTTTTAATTGAAAAAACTAAAAAGGGCATTCCATGAGCCTCGGCACTTTTTGCCCGGACAGTCACATTAAAAAATTTTCTAACCTTAAAATTACAAAATTAGTTATTTTTGTTATAATATATTAACCTACCTTTAATACAGATATTCTTATTCCATAATAGAGAAGCTAGATTTTTTTAAATAAATGCTGTTTAGTTAAAATTATTTTATGGAGAAAACCAGATATTTGGACCAAATGCACAAAAATATTACTTATTTGGCACCATTTAGAATTTCCTTAAATGCAGTATTTATATTCTTAAATTCTTAAACCATCCATTGTTAGTCTAATGTTATAAAGATTTATACATTTTTAACGCCTAAACATAATATCATTTCTTTCGTTGACTATACTTTGACAGAAACATAACCTGAAAAGCCTTAAATGCCAAATTTTCAAAAGACTGCGTTCCGTACGTGGTCACGTGGTGGGACTTTGAGGTGTGGAGCATAGTACATTATCAATAATAAATATTATTGTCAATTTGACAGCGTCAGAGTATTTAATAAATTTCTTCAGCAGAAGAACCATTTCTTAAATACTAAATCAAACTGGCATAATCTACCAACTTAAATAAAAAAACACGTGCCCAAATAAAAAAAAAATTACCTAACTAAAATTTTATGACTTACGACACTTTAACTGACGTTTTTAGAAAAAGAATGATTGACGCTTTAATGAGTTTTTCAAATTATTTAGTAATAAACAAGATTTAAAATTTCTAGGAAGCATAATATTTTGCTAATTACCTAGTTTTTGTAGAAGTTCAATGGCGTAATAACATTACTTTCTGTATTTCACATTCGCACTACACTTAAATAAATGATACTTTCCATTAATTTAATGTTTTTATTGCCATCAATTAAGGCTTTCAATTTTAGCAAAATAAAAAGCAAACCAGAGGAAGTATATTATCGAAACATTATTTAATTTATTACCTTGTTGCTTCATAATTAAAAATATATTTCGTATTCGATTATCTTTAATTAACAAATGTAGGTATTGAACGATTGATTGCCTAATTAATAATTATAAAGGTAAACATTTGTTTATTTACAAGTATTTTGTAGGAATATTTAAACTTTCCAAGTTTAGACAGCGCAATAGTTAATTAAGTAAATAAAAATCAAAACAAATAGTTTTTGTCCAAGCATAAAATTACCATTATAAAATTTAATAGTAGTCTGTGAATATAAATGTTATTTATTTAAATTTTTTTCTACAATTTTTTTTAACATGCATTTATTTAATGAGTAAAAACTATCTAACAGTACTTGACTTACCTTTATACAAAGTTAATGAGTTTTAAGTTGGTCCTTAAGCATTTTTATCAAATGCCACTTTTCACTTTAAGTATTCTTGTAAGGTGTTAAATAAAAATGAAACTACGATTCATTCTATAAAAACAGTAACACGTTTTATTATATTTTATAAGCGTATTTTGACTATGACTAGCTGTACAATATATATAGCAATATTTTATACATATTCACATTTTTCAATTGAGTAGAGTGATATATCCCCTAAACAATGCATTTCCAGTTTAATATATACAGTGATAGATATTTCTTTGGTGTAGAATTAGCCATAGAACGAATGATGTTGCTTTGTCTATGGAAAACTGAACGGCTCAAAATTCCCCGAAAACTATATTGGAACGATTATAATACGAGTTCGAGTTTTATAAAAATAAATTCTAGAACCACATAAAAAATATTTCAGTACTTTTACGAGGTTTACCCTGAAGTTCCGTTTGAGCCGAAAAGTTTGTTCGTATTACATAAAATTATTTGGTATACTGTAAAAATATGGAATACAATTCAAAGGTCAACTAAAATCTAAATTTGACACTGATTTTTCTTGAAATTATGTATGGCATCAAACAAAATGCGACGACCTTATTTATTAGTAGTAGTATTGTCAACTAACTTTATACAACTAACTATGAACAGTGGGACAGAAACTAAACTTTATCACTAATCATACAAAAATCTACAGTCGATTTATGTGTATCCCACTATTAATAGAGCCTAAAAGATTTTAAAAAATGTTGTTGGAATGCTCTAGATTCAACTAAAAAATGTACAAATATTCCGGTAGGTAACAAAAAATATCTACACTCCCATTTTCATATACAAACTAGAATTTTTCAGTCGATTTTTTAATAACACACAATATTTAAATTACTTTCACATTAAACATAAACAATAAATAAACAAGAACCTGCGTCTGACCTATTAGAACTGATTGAAGTTAACTGAACTGATGCCGACGGCAACCGAAAAAACCTAATAATCTGAAATCACCGAATTAATAGTTCTATTCTTCGAAAAATCATTTGATAACAACTCAGGTTGGTTTAGGTCAGTTACGTCGGTAAATAACTACGCGCAAGCTAAAGCAAAATAATTTTTTTTTCTTCCGAGTACTCAACATCTCATCTGCAAAGACTTACATGAATGAACTCAAACCCTTGCGACTAATAATAAAAATCTTATAAAAATGAAAGTGATTAGTTTCCCTCAACTACCGATTACATCAAGATATTTTTTTCGTAGTTTTTTCTTTATAAAATACGTCACGACATGTATTGTCTATTTAAATACTAGCTATATATTTTATTATATTAAGGACCCGTAAATATTTATTCTGCCACAATAGTTTTTAACATTTTTTGGTGTATATTATACAAATACCTAACCTAGATACCTAATGAAAGACATAGGATATATAAAGCTTTTGTTATGCTAGCTTACAAGAACAGCTGTTTAAAGGGAAATATTCTATTAGCGATTATGCTTTTTTTTTAATTTTGTGTATCCTGGGAATATCAAATGAATACCCGTATATATCCAAGTTTAAGAACCGGTTCTTTGCTGTACAACTTTTAGATGGATTCTGAATATCGATTAAAGAGAAGAATTGGCATTAAAAACGTAGAATTGTCGCAAAAATCTGAAAACATTCACAGCTTGTAGTAGAAGTACGAGAAGGAGAACAAAAAACTGCACTGCAATGTATGAATGAGTTCACTTGTAAGATTAATCCAGTGGCGGTTGATGTAGAGTAGCTGTAGCACATGTTTGATGATGAAAAAATTAATCCAAAAACAGGGGATAGGTAGCAGTTGCACAGATAGACACTCAGCTGATGAATCAGCAGGATCACTACCACGCCCGGAGCCTGACGCTTGCGCCCGGAGTGTGGTCGCCGTCGTCTTCACATAATTACACACTATTATCACAAGAAGGGTTTCGACCAATCATCGACAAAAACATATCACAGCGATCACACGTTATAGCACACCTGCTGGATCTGAGGGAACGTGGAGGCCAGCGGAATGGCCGAACTCATGTACGGGTGCAGTCTGTGCGCCCTCAGATACTGCCGGTACTTCCCGGACAGGATATGTTTGTCCTCCGGACGGTCGGGCGAGCGGTCCGGGTCCGTCCAGTGGCCGGAGTCGCTTCCGGAAGAGCTGTAGGTGTTACAGGCAGAGACCAGAGGTTCGCGTTTGCAGTAAGGCTGAGCCGCTGAGATTGGCACTAGAGGTGGCATCGGTTCCCAGAGCTGTCTGGTGTCCGCCGCCACTTGAGTGGCCGCCGCCGAATACTGAACGGGGTACTGAGCCGCCTGCTGCGGCACTTGCTGAGGCAACTGTTGTCCTCTGGGCATCCTCCTCTTGGCGGCTACAGCCACCGCAACGGCCGGTCTGGTGGGCAGGTTGTTGATGAAGGGACTCCTTCGTTGGCTCTCGATCTTCCTGAAGTAGCAGGGGTGGATCATGAGCAGCGGTTCGTTCCTCACGCCCTGAGGTGGCTTGGCCGTGTTGGGCAGTTCGTACTCCACGCTGCAATCGACGTGAAGCGGTCTGGAGTAGTCCTTTTGCACGGGCACTGTCCTCTGTGGAGGAGTAAGTTCATACGCGGGATAGCACGTCGCCATTGCGTTCTCTACTGACCGGAGATCGGTCCTCGACTGACACGACGATCGGCCGCCGTCTGCCGCTGCCGAGAAGCCTCCGTGGTTGTGGTGGGGGTAGGAAATCGATGCTCCCGACATTGTGACTGTCTGCGAGAACGTCTGTGGCAGAACTACGTCACCGAGCGCGACTGTCGGCAGGCAGGCAGCCCCACATGCGTGAGTCCTCGCTTAACTACGCTAGTTCGTCCGTCCGTCGGCCACCTCAATCACCGCCGTGCTCTAATTATTTACCGAACGAACGTACTTTACGACGATCCCGACGATATTAACTGTTGCGTCATAGGCGCCGACACACACTGCTATACTACCGACTTTTGCTGCATCTCTTCTTCCTCCTTTCCTCTCATTCTCATTTCTGTCAACTCGCGCCATACTACTAGCCTTCTATAGTTAATTAAAAGTCTTCTAAATTTTCTATAATATACCCAAGTACACTGACTGATTTCAATGTTATAATTATTAACTGAACAGTTTTTGCACATTCAATAAGAACAATGTGCATAATTGTTTTATTTAATAGTCTCGAAATGTTACCTACAGTTTTTTACATTAAACTAGTAAAGTTTTTGAATATACGTTTTATTACTACAAAAATCTAGAAAGATTTCAATAAATGCAGTTCAGACATTAAATTAATGAATAAAATCTTTGATATAAGCACTCTTGTATAACAACCTTCTTTTTTATTTGTTTTAAAAATAATAAAAGTGTTAAATTAACAATCTAATTTTTCTCAGTTTAGCACAACTGGTTAAATAACTAGCATTCTAAGTAAATTAACCAAATTCTAAGTAAAATAACGCTTTTTTAAACTTGTTTTAACCAATTAGTTGTATTCAACCATTAACATTTTTTTTTAAAGTTATCTATAGTTAGTTATTTTAAAAATAACAAGTTAGTTTAATTTAATCAATTTTGGTAATTTTGGTAATTATTAACTATAATGTGTTACATTAACCGAATTTAAACCAAAACCAAAGAGTTATAAATTACCGATATGTAAATAAAGTAGTTAAATTAATTACAATAAAATAACCAAATGGTTTAAATAAACGTGTAGGTTAATTTATATTGGTTATATAACCAATAAGTAAAAACATCCTAAAATCGCCATATTGTTTGCTGTCCATTCTTATCAAAAGGAAATGCCATTAATTTTAATAATTTGTTTTATTCCAAAAATATGGTAATTTAAACAAACCAATAATAAAACAAAATATCAGTTTATGTAAATAAGTGTTTAAAATCAATTTAAAACGAAATAAAGACAAAAAGGGGAAAAAATGGCATTTTAAATATGATGTTTTTTCCCTTTTAATTTTATGACTTACTCTCTAAAAATGAATTAGTCAAAAGTGACTAATTTAATAGTTATTAGTGGCTGCTTTTTCACTTGTACCATTGTTAACTATGGAATACCATGGTATCTCAAAAGTTAAAAAAGTAGAAAATCTTTTGAGATATAGTCAATTTTCCATTTAATATGGAATTGACTATATCTCAAAAACTGCTCCACTTTTATTATTTTGGATTCAGGGGACAATTTTACATAAGAATTGGCTGTTAAATTTTAGGATACCATGGTATTACATGATTAACCATGGTAGAATTCATTTTTAGAGAGTACAGATATATCCGAGGATATAGTTAAAAAGGTAAAATTAAACCAAAAACTACCAAATATTAAATTTTTTCCAACCAAAAGGTACCTACATAAATCAAGAAATTAAATTTAACTAGGTATTATAATTTAAGGTTAATTTAACGTTGTAGTACAATATTACTTAAATGACCAGACATAACGTTAATTAAACCAGTTGTGCTATTTGGGTAGAAGCAAAATCTTCTATATTTTAGACTTTCAGAATAAAATGTAGTTTATGGTTGTTATACTTAAAACGTACAATTATAATAATCATTAAAAGAAGAAAGTGAGGTTATAATCTATAGATTAGATCTGACAGTAGTCGAATTTTTTGATTGGTCCAAACAGGGTTTTTATGGACTAGAAGGTAGAAATAAAATTATTTTTACAGCTCAGGAGGTTTTTTGATGAAATAAATAACTATTGAAATAAATAACTATTTGTATTGGTCTTTTACAAACTTGGATGTAAAAAACTTCACTTGGTTGATCTAAATTGATCTGTCAAATGGTTAACATCACCTTTTACCAATTTTAAATGTTATCAGAGTCGCCTTCTCTTAATTTAAAACCCGATAGGTTCAGTGAATATAAAAATCGGCCAATTACTGATGGCTAACAACGTGAATAATGGGTTTATTATTCCCGTTGTTAGGCAGAGAATATAATGTTTATCATTATTATTCATGGAAAAACCCAATATGCAATAAGAGTAGACAAAAGTATATTATGTATCAAGTTTGATAAACGCCATTTTATACACGAATTTAATTTAGGCACGAGCGAGCTTGCGAGCGAGTGCTTACATTAATGTGTATAGAAAAGTTTATAAACGAGGTGCATACTATACTTTTTCTACGACAAATAATTATTATCTTAAAATGATTTAAATCAAAAATTTGTATAGAGCGCCATCTATGAAACAATAGGGGAATCTGTGTGTCAACGTCAAATGTCACATTTTTGTATTTTATAAACACAGATTATAAAGGTTATAAATGGAAATGTGGTTCTTGAAAATTGACAGTTTTTCACAGTGAAAGTAAAGAAAATGTTTTATGAGGACTTTACAGTGGAGTCCGTGCCCGAATTTAAGTTATAGTTTACTGCCGGCGAAATTAAAAGGTCAGTACAATGTTCATATAAACTTTTTAAATATTGGCGTTGAGAAACTATTTAATACTTTTGTATTGAGTTAATAAAACAATTTACACATTTAGTATTATTTTACAAGAAAGGCACTTTATTTTAACGATTGTATGACATTTGACAACTGTCAACTATCTTAAAACTAACTTCAGCCCGTGACTAAAAACATGTTGCTAACTTCAGCTCGTGACTAAAACGCCGTAATGCCAAAACTTGTCAATGTGTATTTAAAAGGTCACTTAGTGTCATGGAAACATGTACGATAAACTGCTTCTTAAAGGTGGGAGTAGAAAAAATATATTAATTATATTTTTATTAATTTTTAAACAGTTTTCCAAAAAATGTTTCATACTCGATTTCGAAATTCTTTTTTATTCCCAAATGACTTTTCTTTCTGTCAGAAACAACTGTTATTCTAGACTGCAAAAGTTTTGATATCACTCAAAATATTAAAAAACCTATTGAAACCAAACAATTTTTATTAAAAGTAACTTTTATACAATTATATTATATATGCAGTTATTCCAAAATTAGTAATATGTTCTAAATCCCCAGACAGACAAACCCAATTTAAATTACTAATAGGAAAATCCATTAGCGTTATAATGTATATAATGAAATCAAAAATTAATTGACAATACAAAGCAAATAAAGATAAAATGTCTAAATAATTAATTTAATTTTATTGTTTTGGGATTTCCTCCAGAAAACAGTCCAAACAAATTTCACAATAAATTGCGGCATTTAAAGTAGTGCCAAAAATTGACTTTTGACCATTTTTTTGTTCAAATCATATCGAATAAATTGCCGTTTTAAAACTCGAAATTATAACTGTCGTCAACCAACTAATTTTTGAATTAATTCACAAATTGGAGATAACATTCGCTCCACATTTTAATACCCATATAAATAAATTATTTCTTAATGGCACTCAATTTAGATAAAATCGTCGACGAAAAAAATAATAACCATTATCGTTATAAGGGTTAGAGTCTATGTATTCGCGCAATAATAAATTTCAATAGAATATATCTTTACAAGTAATTGATCATCTTGACGTTTCAATATGAAATTGTTGGCGCCGAATGTGTAAACATTCGGTGGGATAAATTTATGTTCTGATAAAAATAAATAACCCAAAACTAATAAATAATGTTTACCGTGAGAGATTAAAGGAAACGTTTGTTTGTATTTAGATTTCTTGATATCCGATACACTTTGTGATAATTATTTGGAAATATTGTTAACTAGAAAGAAACAAATAACAAATTAATTAGGAAATAATTCTTGTTTTTATTTTTGATTCTATTAAGTTATTGTTAGGTAATATATACAAAGAATGTTTCGCAACGTCTTTTCAACAAAATTTAATGAATGTGCATATACAATTAAAACAATAATTTATTTTGAAAGCAAAAGAAAATAATAGATATGTAAATAATTACTTTAAGTAAGCATATTTTATTTTATTAACATAACATTAATAACAAATAAAAGCGGCTGTTCGCGTCAGATATTGTTCAACAAATTACTAGAAATGTTTATGAGCGGCCATTAAAGAAACGTGCGTCAGTGTGCGCCCTTTTGTTCACCATCATTTATTGTATTTTAATTGTTTATTTTATTGTACAAATACGTTTTTATCATTAGTTAATATTTATACAATTTTTTTAATAAATAGATTAATGCGAGCGATTGTATTGAATATTTTTACACAAAGGAATTAACCCGGCGAATCCACCATTATTGTAACTACCTAAATAACTACGCATTGTATTTTATTGGATCGATTACATTGCTGGCATTTATTAGTGATGCGGTTTCGTAAATCTTCCATGGATTTAGGCTGGGTGGCATAAATTATATTTCAGATGTCCCTGAAAAAATAAATCAATGGGAGATAAATCCGGTGATCTCGCGGGCCTATAGCACCACTTCTCCCAGAAACGTTTAATTTCTTGAGTATGGAAGATCCTTCACGGAAAAAAAATATTTTCTGAATGTAAGAATACCTTTATTTTTTTTAAATCACTTGGTATAAGTATAATTTGCTTAGGCTACGAATACATTAAATTTCTTTTAAATATTAACCTATCCTTAAATTAAGAACTAATTAAACTAAATATTAATCTTTCTTTAAACAAGCAGATCTTATTCTTGCCTGTTAAATGTTAAGAAAGACTTTAAATGAAATAATCTTATTCTTAGTTTAACAATCGATTAGACCAAATTTTGGAAAATTCCCTCTATTCTGTTCTTAAAGAAATAAAACTGGATATAAATATAATTAAATTTATTCTAAGATTAGTAAATATTGGTACGACTGGCCTATTATTAAAAATACCCCCCACTCACGAAAGTG